TTTCGAAAAATGAAGAAAAACCTGTTTTCGAAAACTCTCTCTCTCTCTCTCTCTCTCTCTCTCTCTCTCTCTCTCTCTCTCTCTCTCTCTCTCTCCCCCCCCCGCCTGCTAACGCATGCCTGTACCACCCTTACTGCACCCCACTCACACCGCCACTCACACCTGATGAAGCATGGCAAGTCATGACGGCTCTCTTTCTCTTCGTATGTGTGTGTGTGCTCGCTAACACCAGCCAGTACCACCCTTGCTTTTTTTTTGTGTGTGTGGGTGGGTGTGGATGCGCGTGTGTGTCGACTGATGGCGAATGAAAGGCAGACCGTGGGGCGGGCGGCAAATTACGAAGTTTGCCTGGTCCCGCCAACGATCTGCACGACTCTGCACAGTGAGAGTGGGAAGTAAGAAAGGGGCTGGTCTGGGCGCCCTATGCGACGAATACCGGCCCCAAAAGTCCACGAAACATTTTTGGGGGGGTGCCCTGGACCCGAGGAACAGGTCCAGGGTGCCTCCCTTTTATTTATTTTTGGGGTTTTGGCCCCCTCCGGACGGGCCTCCTACGGTCCAGCATCCAGACACCGGACCCCAGACCGTCTGGATCCACGTCCGGATGTCCGCATGGTAGCCATGCCATCAACCAATATCAGATCCTAAAGGTAATTTTATTTGTATTTTTAGATTATTCTAAAACAGAATGCTCATGTTAAACCCTGGTTGTGATCATCGTCCTGATTGCGACGTCAAATAATTCATGAGGACCATGGGGGCTGTCCTATCTGCAGCTGTCTGTCAGTTGTCAACCAAGTCCTTACAACTAAATAATCACTTATGGAGATGCATCCTGGATGGCAATTAATCTAGATAGTCCAGCGGCGAACAGATTGCCATAACCTTCCCTCCCCCTGTATCCTTTTTGAGTTGTCACTTATGTCGACGTCCTAAGCATCTGGTTGAGCACTTTGTCTAAAGGTGTGCAATCCGGCCCACTTTTCTGCCCCAAATCTATGCTAAGCCTGCCAGCTCTGCATCTTCTTTATCCTCGCATGCAACGAGTGTTACTTCCAGTTGATTTGGCTGATCAAGAGGCAGTTTAAGGACAGCCCCCACGGTCCTCGGGAATTATTTAACGTCGCAATCAGGACGACGATAACAGCCACGGTTCAACAGGAACCCGCCAGAAATATTTATAGACGGTCTGGTGAGCGTCTCTTGTACGGCTGGCATGCCCAGCATGACCTCTAACAGCGCAGCAAGAAGAACAAAGGACTTGCGGCAAAGCATGCGTGTACTAGTCCCAGCCGGTTGGCATGGTGACCATGACCCGAGTGCTTCATCCAGGGCCCTTCAGAGGCTTCGCCCGTCTGCCACCAGCTTGCTGCCCAGGAAGAATGTTGACTCTCAAGGTTGAGCGCTCGCGACACCTCACATCAAGAGGGCTCTCAAGACAGAACTCACTTCCTCACGGTAAGAAGCAATGAAGAGGGTAGATAAGTGTTACATGCCCAATTGGGCGATGTACATAGAAACCGAGGATCCGCAATGTCATAAGAAGGACTGAATGGACAATGCAGTGTAAGTAGAATCTCAACAAGCAATGTGCATTCTGATACATACAAAACGATGCTGAATAGCGCAGGGAAGACTTAGATACAAACCTGACCTGTCCGGGACTGACCTCATTCACGTAGTACAAGATAGCGAAGCAGAATGCTGGGATGCTAATGACTAGTCCAATCAATGTTTAACGCAGACCAAACATACATCATACTCCTCACAAGGTGTGAAGGAGCCTGGCGCTATACACACGAAGAAAGCGCCAGGTCCAGACATACACGGACGAAGAGGAGGGGATCAGACGAAGAGGAGGGGGAGAGATGGGAATGTCGTTAACACCAAGTCCCAAATAATCCCTCACCGGAATGTCTGAAGCCCAAAAGTCGAGTCTGGATCCAATGTCATCAAGCTCTCTCTCTCTCTCTCTCTCTCTCTCTCTCTCTCTCTCTCTCTCTCTCTCTCTCTCTCTCTCTCTCTCTCTCTCTCGTAGTTTGCTGATGCAGTGAAGTCAGATACTGAGAGGGTGAGAGGGAGATGGTGGACTGAGAAGAGGAAGAAGAAGAACTCTCTCTCTCTCTTTGTCACGAGCCAGGTACTAACCTGTGAAGTTGGCGCTGTGCTGCAGGTACCTCGAAGACGAAGCTGGAACAACGGCGTTGCAGGTAAGTACCTCTCGCCTCCGCCCAATCTCTCTCTCTCTAGTGCTATCCTAGCTATGGGGCCCAGCGCTGAAGACTACAGCTACCTACTGGCGCCCAGCGCTGAAAAATAATGCTAACGCGACTACTACTCCTGCAGCACTCCCTCCAGAGTGCTACTGCCGAATCCTGAAGACTACTGACTGCCTCCTGCCTGCCCGTGAAGTGCATGGTGTACTACCTCGGCCTGCCTCCTGACTGCCTGCAGGGCGAGCCAGGCCGAGGAGGCTGCTCTTGCCAATGCCAAAGTGTGCCAGGGGCTGGAGCTGCAGCATCTGCTGAGGCTGTCATGGGAACAGGCTAAGAATAGCCTGTTCCCGAAACCCTGGTTCGGTGCCTGAGTTTCAGGGCCGGTCGTTCTGATGAACGACTGAAAATGGCCCTTCGTTTCAGGCTAGAAAGGCTGCTGCCATTTTTAGTCTGAAACGACACAGGGTCTGTAGGCCCCTGTTTTCCAGGCTTTCGAGCTGACTGGTCACGGGGCCTGTAGGCCCTGGTTTTCAGGCTTTCAGCCTGAATTTCAGGCTTTCGGCCTCAGGGACGCAGGGCCTGGAAAATGGCCCTCGTGTGCAGGCGCAGCATGTAACATAAGGATGGGAGCAACGTACCTCATCCCCCTCGTGTGCAGGCGCAGCATGTGACATAAGGATGGGAGCACGTACCTCATCCCCCAACCACAGATTTCTCACCGGCAACCTGACGTGCATTTATGATGACCGGTCTTTGCCCTGGCACAACAAACAGCGAAATGCAGTTCCACCTCGGCTTAAATGCCACATCAGCAAGTTCTCATCATCCAGCGTACACCCCAATGTCACCTCATAGCCTTCCTGGCGCGCCCACATGACCCTGGGCCGCCAATCATTCAACGCCTAAGCCTTATCACTGGCCCACTTACACATGCGAAGCACCGAACAGCTATCGCGAAGAATCAGCAAGCATAGCTCGAACCAGCTCCGATACCCAATTGCAAGAAAAATGAGCAATAGCGAGATGACAGAATCCAGATTGCACAATCACATTGAAAGACAGAAAGTCTGAGTGTCCAGAAAGCAGCATTGCACCAATATTACAGAAATGGAGAATCGAAACACTGAATCCGAATGTCAATGAGAGCTTACTCTCGTCATCACCAACATAAGTGTCCAGGCCCTTCCCCCTACTTGGCGCTCGGCGCCCAGACTACTCCCACACAGCTACTATCTGCCTACGAATTGATAATGCAAGTGTTGACGTCAGCAGCCACCAAAGTGCATGAAGATGTCGCCCAAAGCAGACTATCGCCAATACCGGGTATGTGCCCTCACGCCCTTCTCCTCATCTCTGTCTCACTCTCTCCCATACTTGTCTTCCTCCCGCGGCTTCTTTCCCAAGAACGAAGACCACCACTACACCTTGCTGTGTCACCAAGCCCCAGCTAGCTATGGAAGCTGGCCTGCGGCGCTGCCCTCAGCAGCGCCCTTCCTTCTACAGGACCGCACATGCGTTGCACCTTGCTCTAGCGCTAGCAACAGCCCCCGAGCGTCCACTCCAGCAGCGCTGCCGCAAACTAGCAAGTGCCTGAATCACTGGCCAGATAGCGGGCACTTTCCTTTATGGAAAGTGTCTGGCCTGCTGCGCTGCCTAGCTGGGCTGGGCCTGTGCCCAGAAGCTTCCGGTAGGCCCCCGGTAGCTGGGTCTCTGCTGCTGCAGCTGCTGCTGGGCCCCGTTCGGTTACGCCTCCCAACTGCCCAGCGTGTATACTGCTGCCGATGCGGCCCAGGGCCTGCTTCCAGAAAAGGCCTAGAAGGCCGTGGAAAGTTTTGCTGCTCGTGGCCCGGGTTCCCTCAACCAACTGACGCGACACAACTGTCTGAGCCCCAAATACGAAATTGACAACAATGGGTCTCTCGGGATTTGGTCAGGCCCGCCTTCACTTAGGGCGGGCACATCTGCAAGATGGGACCCCCTAGGCCTGCCGAGGAGCCAGATCCTCGCACTAGGCTACCAGCCGGGCCACCCGGGTCACCTTGTTTGCCCGGGCTTCTGCTCGGCCGTGCAAGGACTGTAGAAGGTCCCAGCGAAAAGAAAAAAAAAAAAAAAAAAAAGAAAGTTTAAAAAACTGGAAAAAAAAATGTTATGCAGAAAAATATACTGAACAACTTTTGCCTCAGGGTCACATCGAAATTCTTTACCAAATTTAAAAGAATTAAAATAAAATAAATTAAATTAAATTTAAAATTTAAAATATATTTGTATAATTTTATTTTTATTTTTTCTTGGCGCGGCCGGGCAGGTGGTCCCAGGCCACGCTGGTAGCCTAGGTTACTATGCACAGTGAAAATTGCTGAGCACATGCAAGAAAGAGTCAAGTCCTCCAGAATGTCCATTGAAACGGGGACATTACAGAAAAGATTCGGACGGCTTCTGCGCAAGAATGACACAAACAATTTGTACAAATGGTGCTTGTCTGGTCTTTTTTTTTTTTTTTTAAAGAGTAGAAGTGTGAGCTTCAGCAGTTGCTTTTCCTAATGCAGCATTCTGCATCACATTCTTGGTTGTCTGGCTGGCTAACTAACCCTTTTTTCCTTCATTTCCCTATCTGGCTGGCCAGTGGGTACCAATTCAGATTTATTGTCCTTCCCTCCAACGTGCATAGCGCCCGAGTTAACTGAGTATCGGCATAACCCTTCAGTCGCAAATAAAGGCAAGCAAACAATCTGGAAATCTAGCGAACCCCCCAAAGTGCAGTCATGATCGATGAGCAAGCGATGTGGAAGGCTGGCACTCACCACAGTGCGAGAAGAAGTATATGACGGCTGAAAGCAAAGAATACAGAAAAGGGAGAAAAGAAGACAAAGGAGGAGGGGGCAAGCGATCTGGAAGGCTGGGGCTCACCACAGCGCAAGAAGAATACGAAGGGAGAAAAGAAGAGAAAGGAGGAGGGAGACAAGGGTGGGGAGAGAGAGGGGCAGAGAGGAAAGAAAGAAGAAGTTTAAATTGTACTTTTGTTAGCATGAGACAATTGCCATATATAAAATGAATCAACAGCAGGAAGTCCGAATGACATATAAACCGAAACCGAATGGCCAACCCACGTCCACCTTACGCCACTGATACCTTCACAAACCGCAGCTACGGCTATAAGTTGTGCAGAGTCCATTCCCAACATAACACCCTAAACCTGACTATTCTTCTGCTCACCTCAAGGACCCCTCCTCTTTCCTTCACATGCAACCCTAACACTTCCTCTTTGCCTTGCTCTTTGACTGAGCAAGAGAGCCTTCCAAGTTGCTCTATCACCCAACCGACCTCCCCTCAAAGTCAAAACTGATGTCCGAGTCAGTCATCGCCAGTGCTTTCTCACCATGATCACCAAGTGACTTATCATAGGGACTCATAATCGAAGGATGCATGAACCTTACCCTCCCAGACCTCCTAGCAAGTGCCTGCCCTTATGTAGCCATGCAGCTAGGCAAGAACTCGCCTCCTGAACAAGCACCACCCCCGCCAAGGAGTCGACTATCCAAGTTGCCACGATAAGCACGAACGCAATTAAGCCACAGCCCAGGAAATCGTTCACGCCACTGAGCTACAGTTGGTATTTTACCCCTTGCCTACCCTCTTCTCGTACAACGCAAGACATGCAATCAATCAATCAATCAATCAATCAATCAATCTAATTGACTGACCACCAGCTGCCGCCTGGTTAAGTTGGATGCGCAGTAACAAGCGTACATGCCGCGGGAGGAGCATTAAGGGATCACCAGGCATAAATGAGTCATCAGGCAAGCCCATAGTACATACTATAACGCTGCAATGCTGACGGATCAAGATGCCTAGCTTCCAAGGAGCAAACGGCACGTCCCTGTTCCACAACTGCTTGAGCTTATTTACCGTTCACTGAAGAATGAGCAATCAAACCACTCACCTCAATGAATGTCCAGCAGGACAGCTACCCATCTTTCTCTTATGACATGCGACAGAAAGCACGAAGGGAGCCTGACACCAGGCAAGCTCCCTCGAGATTGCAACTGCATGGCATCAACCAAGCAAAGCAAATCAGTCACCCTAGGAAAAGGATGTTTGAGATAGGTTACACAGCTTCTTTCCCTTGCTTTGGCAGGAAAGGAGGCTTGCAAAGTGTGCGCTCACCGCACAGGAAGCATTGAAGGATCTGGACGCCGAAACACATTTGTCATCAACAGGTGCTGACGGAGGGAAGGATGCCGAGGGGTGGGCAAGTGTGTTCAAAAGCAAAGATGAGGGCACTGTTCTAATCTGCGTAAAGCTGCATGCAGCAGCACGGCAAGCTGCTGGATGAGAGCGCCCAATCAAATTGACTATACTTGGGAGCTGCGACTATACCCGGGAAGCAAGGAGTCTGCGATCAGAAGCTGATGCTATATGCAGCAGCACTGCAAGCTGCTGGATGGCAGGCAGTGGCTCACACCCATCCGTTTTTGGACAGCTTAAACCACCACTACCTTTCGCAGCTGTAGTCCCATTTGGGAAAATGACCTCGTCCAAAACAGTCGCCGCCGCGCGGCGGGTGATATTTTTCATCAGTGGCTACCGGCCTCTGAAACGAGCGGGTCCCACCCCACGGCCTACATATGAGAAAGGTAGTGGCGGCTCAATCGAAGTCTACGACTGTCTTGCCTGCTGCTCAGAGAGCAGGAATTGCAGGTTCTCTTGCCTGCAGAGATGCAGGCATTATCAGCAAATCCCTACTATCTACAAGTACACGCTTGCTCCCACATACTACGTGACAGATTTAACCTAAAACATAGACACATGCATGGCACGTAGCATACGTCCGCCAGCAGGCCATCAGCTGTCATGAGACAGGTCAGATGATTTACAGTCATTGGCAGATGACAGCGCCCAATCGAATCGGCTATGCTTGGGAACTGTCATCCCTAGAAGGAGCAAAAGGTATCGTATTGTACAATCCCTGGACAGTAACATACATACAAACCATTTTAGAATAAAACTAGACGTCAAATCGAAAGCCAATGGCCTGAAAAACAAATGAACCAGAAAGCACAACTTTATAGCAATGGCTTGCACAAGATGTGTCTGCCACAACCACGGCCGCAACTCTGAGAATGACAGCTGCCTGGTGAAAACCCACTGAACAGAAGTAGACAATGGGCACAAAGACAGGTTTGTGGAGTGGAGCCAGAGATGTAGTGAAGAGTCGTGGCGATATCCAACACAACGAGAGCATAGGAGCTGGGAGCAGGTGAAAAGTTGCGCCATCGATAGGCAAGAACAACCTACTTCTCCAGCCTAAAGCTACGGAGCAGGAGTGCCAACAGCTGGCAGAGACAAACTTGCCAGAAACAATGGTGTGGTGGTCCCTTCCTTGCACACCTGCAGGTTCCTTGCAGGAGGCCATGAATCAGCAAAGAAGAACATCGAACGCCCGGCACCTACGGCAGAAACCAATCCCGGTGGATTCGGATTTTAAAGTAGGATTCAGATTAAACACCTCAGAATGCAAGACAGGGTGCAAATTACACACCCTCTTCCGCCGAATACAAGCCAGAGGGGGGAAAAAGGCAAATTTGGGACAACGGGAAACACTGCGGTCAATTGCGCAACAGTCACAACTTCGCATGTTCAGAATCTCCCAATGACGCCGTGGTTGGAAGTAGAGAATCCTCTCCAACACTACTACGGGTACCAAAGAAGGGTTGTTCTAGTACAGAATAGGGTGTCGACGCAGCGCAACCCTGTCCACCTACTACAGCCTCCATTAACGCGTTGTATTGTAATTTTGTCGCATCGTATGCAGCTTGAGAAAACAGTTCCCTTGCGGCTGCCCGATCTGCAACGTCCAGCCCCGCTTTAATCGCAATGTCCTTGAAGTTAAGCTCTGATCCAACAGACATACCAATACCATGGTATCCTATCACCCTTTCCTCACCGAGCTCCTTCTCCACCTTTCGTGGAGGTGGCATGATGGAATAACAAAGCAATGCAAGTGGGTACAGGTGGCCTGGCGGCTTCTGTTTGCCTTTCCCAAGCTTCCCTGGATCTTGCTCTGCTAACCGGCGCATGGTCTCGACGGACGCAGCATCGAATGGCGCAGGAAACCACGCTCCCTTCTCATTGGGACGGTCTCTGCCCCCACTTGGGGCGATCCAGACAAGTTGCCCTCCCTGCGCAAAGAGTGATGCCATCACTTTGAGGGTTCTACGGTTTGCAGAGGTTTTCATAACTGCGGTCGCAGGGTCATCATTTATGTGCTTTTTTGAGTAAACACACAGGAGATTTCTTCCCATCGAGAAGGGCTTGCAAAAAGGATCCTGAACCACACGATCTCCGGCGACATAAGTGAGATTCTCTGCTAAAAACGGGTGCGACTTCTCGAGGAGTAAAGCCATCAAACCAGGGTCAGCTTCTGTTTGGTGATTGGAGAGGAGCACAACATTGTGTCCTTGCTTGATGTAGGACTCTATCTCATCCAATATCGCACAATTGCCCACATACGAGTTCTCGAAATCAATAAGCGGGCGTAAGTACTCCTGTCCAAACCGATAATAATCGTACGGCTCTCGAATCGACAGGTGGTGCGAATCGAAGATATACGGGTTTTCAAATTGCATAAAAATTCTCTCGAACACCTGGCCCATGACTCGCACTGCCTCTTCTAAAGCCCGCTCTCGACCGCTTGACATCACTGCCGACTTGTAGTAGTTCCAGAACCGTTCGATGTGTGCCATCGACCTGGGAGGAATACGTTGCCGCTCCGACTCCACCCGAATTGCGTACAGCAACTCCTCCTCTGTCCTAGCGTGGCCCAGTGTCACTCTCTCTTCAGGGAATGGGGGCCTGATGGCTGACGAGCTCGAAGAGCTCATCCCGGTCTCTACAACAGCCACTGTTGCCAAGACAGGACGGTGTTGGAGCACAAACTGTGGCCGGACAAGATGCCCCGAACGCCATACCTGATGCCTGCTCGCTGCACCTCCCACCCGGCGTGGCGTCCTGCTCTCGAGGCATGACCCTGCTGTACACACAGTTCTCGAGACGTTTTCAACAATCCACACAGGAGAACACCGCATCGCTGCCCGCGATGTAGCTGTGCAGCCTCGCAGACAAGATGACGTTGATGCCCCTGAGGAGCTAGAAGACAGATCTCTACCAGTCAAAGCAGCAGCGTAAGACTGGGAGGCACCCGAGCCACCACAGAGCAGCCTTGCCATTGTCAGCACAACTTTAAGAAGACCAACTTAACAGATGAGAGAACAACTCCCGGAAAACAAAAGCGGCCCCGTTTAACTAGCTCCCATGGGCAGGCCCTGCCACCGTTGCCCTGCGGATGGAGATTCTATTGCAGCAGGGCAGTTGTCTGTTTATGTTAGCCTATAAAGGCTAAGGCAACCGGATCTGTAGCAGCAGAATCAAGCATAAGGTTCCGTTACCAGGGTCAATAACAAGGTCTCCCGGAGATGCTCTCAATGACCTCCCATTCAGCACCCGTTACCAAAGGACATATTCTACAAGCGTCTCTTTGTGGCTGTGGCTTCTGTTAACCTGCACCCACCCATAAGCAGATTGGCAAGATAAAAGCTATTGAGCCACTGCAGTAAAAAAGAGACGACTACAGCAACCATCCGTTCACAAGAAAGAGAGGGGCGGGGGG